AAATACAAAAAACTAGCCGGGCGAGGTGGCGGGTGCCTGTAGTCCCAGCTACTCGGGAGGCTGAGGCCGGAGAATGGCGTAAACCCGGGAGGCGGAGCTTGCAGTGAGCTGGGATCTGGCCACTGCACTCCAGCCTGGGCGACAGAGCGAGACTCCGTCTCAAAAAAATAAAAAAATAAAATAAAATAAAATAAAATAAAATGGGAGAAATAAAAACACATGCCGATTCACTGAATTAACATCTGCATCATGGCTGGGCGCAGTGGCTCACGCCTATAATCCCAGCACTTTAGGAGACAGAGGCAGGTGGATCACTTGAGGTCAAGAGTTCGAAACCAGCCTGGCCAACATGATGAAACCCCCATCTCTAGTAAAAATACAAAAATTAGCTGGGCATGATGGTAGGCGCCTGTAATCCCAGCTACTAGGGAGAGTGAGACAGGAGAATCACTTGAACCCGGGGGGTGCAGTGAGGCAAGATCGCACCACGGCATTCTAGCCTGGGCCACAGAGCAAGACTCTCAAAAAACAACAACAACAAAAATACCATAAAAAAACATTTGCATGTTTGCAGAGAAGGGGCCTGGCCCATTGTGAGTGATGTGTGTTAGGTATACACACATTGCGCAGACGTTGCTGTGCAAGCATAGCCCTGCCTTATAGCCCAGGGACCCTGAGAGGCATTTCCAGAAGTTTCTAGAGGTTTCTGGAAGATTCTAGACATTTCTGCAGCCTTTTGGAATTTCATGCCAACCCTGAGGTATGAAATTGTTCTTTTTCTGGCCCCAGGTAAAAAACGCCGCTGCTAACGTTCTCAGGGAGACGTGGCTCATCTACAAACACACCAGGCTGGTGAAGAAGCCAGACCAAGCCCGGGTTCGGAAACACCAGCGTAAGTTCCTCCAAGCCATCCATCAGTAAGTCCAGCACCTTTCCAGCTCACGTTTCTGTGTCCACATGGCGCGGAGGCAGCCCTCGCAGCTCAGTGTGGCCTCTTCACAGCTCCCTGCCAGGGATGGGTGGTCAGTTGGTTGGGGCCTGTGTCTTCTGAGCTGGGTGGATGGGAGGATCTTCAGAGGGAGGCAGATTATGGGTTCTGCTAAGTCATGGACACTACTCAGTAAGTGGCAGGATGTATATTTTATTCTCTGGAATAACCAGGATGATTCTTACCCTTTAGACTTTGAAGAGATTTCCTCTTTTTGCTTTGTCTGCCAGGAAGCTCATAATTAAATCCGTGGTCTGATCCATGGGATCATGTGGGGTAACTAGAAATGAATTGGGCCAGGTGTGGTGACTCGTGCCTGTAATTCCAGCACTTCGGGAAGCTGGAAGATCGCTTGAGTCCAGGAGTTCAGCACCATCCTTGGCAATACAGGGAGACCCTATCTCTACAAAAACTAATAACTTAGCTGGGTGTGGTTGTGTGCCTCTGTGGTCCCAGCTACTCAGGAGGCTGAGGTCGGAGGATCACTTGAGTCTGCAGGGTCAAGGCTGAAGTGAGCCATGACTGTGCCACTGCACTCAGCCGGGTTACAGAGTGAGACCTTGTCTCAAAAAAAAAAAAAAAAAAA